ATCGGTCCACGTACTGTTTCAACAGGTTTACCTCAAGGTTCTGTCATTTCTCCAGTCCTCTTCAATGTGTACACCAAAGATATTCACGACGATAACATAGACGGTCAACTAATTCAATACGCAGATGACTTTGTAGTTTACAATTCGAATAGGAAAATTGAGGAATGCATATACTCTCTCACTACAAGCATGTCTGTAATAACTAAAAAAATGGAGGCTGTAGGGTTCGCGTTAACGCCGGAAAAATCGAATGTCACCATATTCACCAGACATATCATTCGAAACATCGATCAAATAGCGGTAGATAATGTCTCGTACCAAGTCTCTAATATGGCTTCGTATTTAGGTTTTAAACTCGACAGAAAACTTACCTGGAAATATCATATTGAGGATATCGTTACCAAATGCGACAAAGGTCTAAATTTTCTAAAGTTCATTAGAACAACCTGGTGAGGAGCCGATATTAAATCATGTCTCATGTTTTACAAAGCATACATTCGCTCAATGATTGATTATGGCTGTGTCCTCTACGGGTCCGCAAGGCCGTATTTGTTAAAAAAGCTGGAAATTGTGCAAAACTCCGCCTTAAGACTCTGTTTGGGAGCCATGAGTTCCACACCGACGGAACCATTACGAATCGAAGCGTTAGAACCTCCGCTAGAACTACGCAGACAATTATTAACGGAAAAATTCATTCTAAAGCTATATACTAGGGACCCTAGACTCATTCAAAAAATTGCTAAGTTAAATGACTTAGATCTAACCTTAAAATTCTGGGCCAAGAGACTCTCCCCGTTATTATGTGAGGCATTTAGAAATATGATAGACATAAGTAAATTCCTGTGTGAACCTACCCAGCCTAAAATCATAGACCTCTTTGATTACTTATCCATAAAAAATATCGAGGTTCCCCCATATGTGGAAAACATTGCTATCAATAGAACAATTCTTAACTGCGTTCTTTTTAAAAATAGAGAATATACCCACATATATACAGATGCGTCCAGGCAAGACCAGGATGTAGGATGCGCAGTCTATGTCCCGTCTTTGAATCTCCAGAAGACCTACAAACTATTGGATTTCACGTCCATATTCTCTGCAGAGGCTATCGGAATTTTCAAGGCATGCGAACTCGCTGAACAACAAGGATTACGTACCATTAACATTCTTTCTGATTCTCTATCTGTTCTTTCATGCCTCTCAAGACCGATGGACGTTCTTAACATCAAGGATAATTACTACTGCAAACAGCTAAAATCTAAAATAAAACGGTTGGAAAGATCAGGCGCTAAAATTAAGCTGACATGGATAAAAGCTCACACTGGACTGTTACCCAACGAAAAAGTAGATGTGTTAGCTAAGGAGGCTTGCTATAACGGACAAGAAATAGTGAACTACATAGGAATGTTAGATGGCGCAGCGATATGTCGACAAAATCTGCTCCGAAAATGGAAAATCCGATGGAGCCATTTCAGCAACAACCACCGCACACAATACACCCTAATCCATCCTTCTATTCCTAGGAAATTTTGGCACGACAACTCCATTTTCTCAAGAAGCGAAATAGTAACAATTGGCCGACTGAAATTCGGCCATGCTTGCTATCCATATCATTTACATAGGATTGGAGTCTTGGACTCGAACTTATGCGACGATTATCAAGTAATAAGTGACTTAAATCACATTTTCTTTGCCTGTAACAAATACACAAACCAAAGACAAAAGCTGTATAGCGACCTTGGTAAAGAGGGCATTTTCCCACCTTACAATATAGTGCACATTTTGTACTTAGCAGTACAAAGTGTGACTATTTGCACGGCCCTTATGAATTTTATCAAATCAAGTCAGCTCACATTTTAGATAGGTTAGATTTCGTCTTCATTTTCTCCTATTGGCGACTTTTGAGTATCTTTACATTTTGAACAAGTCCGAGGTCTACCTGTTCTGTCCGTTAGCCACCCCGAGAGACCCCTGGGTGTGAAGAGTACACCTTTTTCCACTCCTTTGTGGTCCCTCAAATCATTTTGTACAGGTTTAGACTAGGTCCAAACAAACACATGAGCTGCTGGCTAATGAACTTAAGTTTAAGGGCCATTAAAAAAAAAAAAAAAGCCCTAATGCTTGGACTTTGTCAATTCTATTTTGTACAGATAAAACGAGAAATTCCGAACATTTAAAAATAGAATGCTCCTTTTTGCAATAATAGCATTCATAACTTGACTTATTTACTACAAATGCTTTCTTATTAACAATGTTTAACTGCTTCTTTGGTTCAGAACGTCCAAATAACGTTTCTAAAAATTCCGCCTTTTGTTCTAAAAAGCATAGAAAATCCACAACAGATCCATTTTTTGAATTTGCTTTTAATCGAAGCTTTTCAGTTTCCCAATCTTTAGCTAATGACATATCCAATTTATTTGTAAATACCTATGTATAAAAGAATAGTATTCCAACTCTCTATGGGTTCACCTAAAATAGACAAACAGTGTAAATGTTTGCTTGTTTTATCAGCGAAACTACGTAACTGAACTGAAGAGTCACTTTTCAATTGCGGTAATTCCATAATTGCTTTAATATGATTATGGACCAATAATCCTGATTTGCTAAACCGTTTTACTAAAGATTCCCATGCTGTCTGATAATTGGTCTCATTAAAATCAAGAGAGGATATTATATCTGCAGCCGAACCAATAAGGCTTGAACGTAGATAATGAAATTTGTCAGTATTACAAATAGATTTATTATTATGAATCATGGATTCGTATTTAGTTTTAAACTCCAACCATTCTTCAAAATTTCCTGAAAACTTTGGAAGTTCAATAGTTGGCAATTTAAACTTTGTGCTTTTATTTACAACAGGGTGAATATCTACAACTTCCGATACAGGATTTAAAATACTGGTGGTACAATGGCCAACAGCTGCAGAATCCGACTTATTAATAATAGCTGATATTGATTCTTCGGTTATAATTCTGGGATTCTTACTTGCAGCAATTGAATTACTACCTTCTAATGAAGTAGATTTTAATGATTGACTTTCCAAAGCTTTTGATTGAACTATATAGTATTGAAATACAAATCTTCAACTTCATTCCGGTAGTCAAGTGCTGCATCTAAATCCGTTTCTTCTACCAATTCTTCAATATTAGATTGAATAGTGTTGAATTCTTTAAAATAATCCTCAACTTTTTGCCTTTTGTACTGCAACTGCGTTACCGTTATATCGCTAACATTAGTTGAATCAATACCTGACACATAATTGAAAAACTTAGTTATTCTCCCCTTGATCACACCACGCAATTTAATGCTACGCGCTAAAACCTCATCCATGACTTAAAAACTGACAAGGCAAAACTTTGAAACGTATCAACCTTTTGTTAATAATCAATTTCTATTTAACTGTCAAAGTCAGTCAAAATCTGATAAATTTCACAATTAAGATCTATGTTTCTTGGACAGAAAAATGAAATTTCTCTTGCTACCACAAGTCAGAACGTTTAAGGTTCGTTCAATATTCAATACTTGAACTAAATGATAACTCTTAAAGAAAATACTTGGAACAGACTCACCCGATCTCAATTTCCTAACAATTAGTAATCGAATATTGGACTAATGAATGAATCTGATTACGCGTTCTTTGTATCAGGACTTTTCTGCAAATCTCAGCTAATAATTGCTGCTTCCGCAACGATAACTGTTCACAATACTGAGCTCCAGATAATAAATATTTGCTGCTTCTTCAACGATAACCGTTTGTAAGACTGAACCTCCAATTAATAAATGCTGCTTCCGCAACGATAACTTCCTTTGTTTAAATTGGGACTCCAATTCCTTGTCACGTTGATCGACGCCTTTTTCTTATTCTCCAAATCACAAATCCGGCTTCGATAGGACCATATACTGATTTTTGTCAGTGCGAAATATAATTTGGTTCGCGATTTGTGAATAAATTTTTAATTGCAACGAATACAACTTTTTTTTATTGACAATTCTTACATCATTGTTTTTATTTCATATTACTTAATCATTTTTAAATGTATATAAACACAAAATTGCAACACATTTCGTCTGATCCAGGACCGCCATTACATTTTGACATCCAACGTGGGACTTTATAAGAAGCGCGTTACATTCCTCTCAAGATCTCGCTCCGAGGACCCCCATCCCCTGAAGGTAGGTACTGAGGTTTCGCCAGTGGATGCGAGCAGGACGTGTTACGCAAGGACCTTAATAGGCAGGTGATTTTCCTGTATATTTAGAGCATTTTTTAGAAATAAAAAAAATTGTGTTATTATTTGCGTTTTGTCCGTCCGTCCGTCCAGACCACTGCTGCGGTTGAACTCCCCCCCTTGCCCATGAATTATTTCTTGAGATGCTGTCTTTGAGTGTACAACGTGCATAACTTTGACACCAATTGGTTTCAAAAGAATTTGCATATGCATGCCTTTAATGGTGCCAAGTAAAATTTTTGAAAATGGTGGGGGGGGGGGTGAACACACGTTCTACCCTTCATGGTATTCTAATGAAAGGTCTCACCAAAGTGAATTGGTTTGTACAAACTATAACTTTCCTGCACAACTCTTCTCCGAGATCAGTAGGTGGTCGGGGGCAAGGAGGGGGTGTTAGAAATTAATTTTATCTTTCATGGTATTCCAATTAAAGGTCTCAACAAAAGGAACTGCTTTGTACCAACTACCGCCCTACTTTCTCGCTCCTTATCAAATCAAAAGAAGGATTGGGCGGGGGGGGGGGGGAACGGGTTTTATCCTTTATGGTACTCTAATGAATGGTCTCAACGAAAGGGATTAATTCCTACCGACCATAGTCTCCTGCTCGACTCCTTATCGTGATCGGATATAAATGAGGCAGAATCGCGCATGCGCAAGTGTGCGAGTGGTATCTCTGCTATCAACATCAATTTTTTTTTAAAATACCTCATCACAATTGACTGAAACAATTTTCACACATCCTGAAAACCACAGAAGAAACTATTCAAAATGTCAAAATAAATCACATTTATTTGTATTGAACAATAAGTAAATAAATTACAAAATCAGTCTGCATTCCATCAGAACTGTGGAACATTAAACCATTGGTACTTTTTATCTTTGGTGGTGTCATATTCGTATTCGAGGCATTTGTATCGTCTGCAAATAATAAATTCGTCTAATTAAGTTACCTTTACGTCCGTTTGTACGTACGGAAAATATATGCTTTTGGTGCATTTCACAACAGGGTAATCCTCCCTAAAGCACTTCGTTCCTAAGTAGTTGAAGAAGATACGCCCGACTCTTCTAGAATTCGATGTGTCGGCCTTCTTGAGACACGCGTAGAACTGATCATCGCATTTGCAGTTCGACAATGTGAAAGGGGCGTTGTTTGTTAAATTGTGAGCGGTTGCGTTGGCCGTAATGGTGTCATCGCAGTAATCGTGGGCTCTGCAGCATCCGTCCGTCTCGTGTGCGCTACCGAGATCGTTTTCAGTGTCCGAGATGTTTCCTGCGCCGCACCACTTCGTACCTGTCGTTCTGGCGTTAGTTTACGTTTTGATTTTGAGTGCACTTACCGGGGTAGATTAGAATCCACATATACCAGGGATCATCATCATCATTTTCTTTAGTTTCAGGCGTGGCCGTGGTACTGTCCAAATAAGTGACGGTACTCGCCCAAACATTCGCAATTAGCATCGAGATGATTACTGCTGTAATTGCCTTCATGATTTCGTGGTTTTTTATCATTGCCTTAGAATTATATAGGTACCTACTGTCTACAGATCAGCAAATATTAGCTGTACTGTGCAGACGAGATTAGTTATTTAACTTTTGATAGCCGTGTTCGCACAAGGGCATTCACTCTCTTAGTTTTACGCATTTTTTTTATTGGCAATAATTTGGGAATGATCAATACCATTAGGCGAGGCCTTCTACATAATAATTAGGCATGAAATTTTAATAAGTTTATTACATTATGTTGGCCTAAGCAACTACATTGATGGGAAGCTATCTTAAAAATCGTAAGCAACTGGTACTACTAAATAATACTAAATCTGATGCACTACCGATTTGCTGTGGGGCCCCACAAGGCTCTATTCTAGGTCCTGTATTATTCATATTATACACCTTGTGATGTACCGTCTAGACAAAGCTACCTAACTTGAATAACCGAATAATAGGACCATCTTACCACGTTGTGTTTTAAGAGTCGCTACAAGATATGTGTTGCTTGTCGGAGTGATGATCAAGTAAGGAATACAAATAAAACAAATACATGCTTAAAGTTAAAAACGGAGATTTAATCCAATAATAATTCGCATTGCAAGATTAAATTTAGAAAATGGTAGTTCACCGAGTAGAAACAAATATAACAATAGGCTGGGAAAAAAAGAACTGACCAAGAAAAAACCAGCCAACAAATTAATATTGATCTTTATAGCAAAATTAGTAGTTATCTGTAATGGCATGAATGCATATTATGATGGTTATCAAGTAAATTAAGATAATGTTGAACCACAGGCTCCGCTGGAATTCCTAAAGAATCAATATTTCACACACATAACAAAAAAACAATCATTAAAACATTACAACAAATTCATATAAGTTTGGATATTGGGTGATCAGTCCAAATCCCACACCGAGTAGTCTTTAGTTGCTCTGGCCATGACATGTCAACATTGTATGAAATCGCTAGGAGTTGGCCTCTCAGAAGAGCATTTCACACAGGAAGGATACAAAACAGATACAAAAAAACAAAGGGCACAACGGGAACACGTCGTACGCTTTTAGCAGATCCCTGCGGAAGTGAGGCCGGGACTTGCCTGCGCCCTCATGTACGACTAAGCGGGACCCCAACTCTTTCATTCACACATCTCTAGGGCCAGTCCAACCCACTAGCCTTAAAATGCCGGGTTATAAATTACCGAACTCCAGGCTCTCTACCATGAGTACTGACAATAACCGATCAAAAGACAAATCATGACATAACATAAATAACAGAGCAACCATCGGCAAACTCGCACGCATACATAAACAAAATATACACAATTTATGTAGGCGTTGACAGTTGACATATTTGCACTGGCATAACAAAGACTAACACAAAACCAATATTCGGTCACTACATGTCAGAGATCGACTAATCGGATTGATTAGCAATATCGGTAAGATGGCTCTTTTCAAAGACACAAAAACAGTACATAAAACATATATCTCTGCGTATGTCAGTTCTGAACTTTAGCCAGCCTCTGTTACGTCAAACCGAGATATTAAACATCGGTATCAAATATAGCACAGTACATATTCGAAACAAGTCACCCTACCAAATATTAATAATCATAATCACCCGGTTCAAATAAATAGTAGGAGCATAACGATAGTATCACATTATAACAAACACCACGAAACATGTGGCAAACATTAGTATCAAGTAATTAATTCACAATGCCAAGTGCAATATGTAACAATCAACCACCTAACGTACGTCACTCGCCCCCAGGTGAAGCACCCTGTAAATACACAGTAACATATTCAGGCAAACAATAGCGAAATGCGCTGCAATAAATTCAATTATAAATTAAAATGTAGTTCTGCATACTTGTATTGAATATCGCCCCTGAGGGAACATACAGTATCTAAATACAAATAAAACACGTAAAGCGGTCAGTAATTCCTGTAGCCAGCGCTTGGGACAAAGGAAAACTGTAAATTGGAAAACAACAGATTTGTAGAATATATGCATTTAGTTCAAAGTGTGACCAATATAATTAAAAGTGCAATTTTTATCTAGAGTGTGTTCCAAATGGCAATAATCACGCTGTACGAGAATAATATTCAATTGGTAAATAATCGAACACGATCATATGATTATTAGATGGATGCAATAGACGCAGAGATAAAAAAACGAGTACATCACCTTTGTAATTGTCGAAACTGCACTCACCATTCGTAACGTAAAAATTACATCTGCCCTCAACAACAGCACAAATACCTCTGCTGCATTCTCTCCCTTTTTAAACAAATCCTAGACGAAAATTGTTAATGTCGATAGGGATCATTAAGTTCCCTCGCATAGCGTTATATTTGACACATTTATTGTAAATTATGGCCCATTTCAATGTAGAGCAGCGAAGAAAAAAAAACACGTGTTCCACGGAAACGAAACAGAGCGCAATCTTGACTTTTTTCGTCGCGCCAGGGTCGGTTTCGGGAATATTTAAATCGAATTTTAGCGGACTAATTCGGTCTTTATGTATGTGTTTTTTATAGTTGCGTGTATTAATGACCTGGTCTTGTATTGCTAACATGAAACCCTCAGTCTACGGGAAGATATCACATTCAGACAACCAAGTGTGCGTTGCTATAGAATCAACACAATCCTGGCTAACCTCTTGTGGAAATCGTCCATGTAAAGGCTTTTGGTTCCATGTCTGTATGTTATTTGTGATGTATGTAAGTTTGGATGTGGGTGGGAGTATATTAGTTTCGTGTAGGTTAAGTGGCGTGTAAGATTTGTCTGCATATGTTACTGTTTTGTGTAAGACTGAAGTATCTGATTTGTAATAAAAGTATTGTCGTAAGTTGTGTATTTGTGTTTGGTGCAATAGTTTTATACGAGGAGTAAACCGCAACCCAAATTTTGTACACTGATTTCCTATAAATATTAGATTTCCTCTGAGTTCCTTCGAGTTCTTCAGAGTTCATTTGATTTCTTCGGAGTTTCCCTGATTTCCTCCGAGTTCCTCCAACTTCCACGAAATACCTCTGATTTCCTTGGAGTTTCCTCGATTTTCTTTTGGAGTTCCTGTGAGTTCCTCTGATTTTTTAAAGTTTTTTAATTATTTCATTGTTATTCCGTTGATTTAACAATTTCCTGGTAAGTAAAACCCGAGGTAAAAACATAAAAAAAATATAAAAGTGTCAAGTGTCAACTTAAAAAGTAATCGTAAACGATTTACATAAAGCGCATTTCCACTTGCATTCATTTCCCATTTGTAAGATGCAACTCTGTTAAAATCGTATAAATCCGGCCACAAATGTGAAAGATAGCGTTGCACATGGGCAATCCATTGTTGGCGTGCTACTTCAATTTCAGTTTATGAGAAGAATTTCATATCAATGCTTTTCTAAATAAGAAAGTTGGAACTGCGCATGCGCAAGCCTAAATTTTAAAACTAATGTTAGATTTTCCTTTGTTCCAAGCGCCTAAGTATCAAATTTCACTTAAATAGTTCCATAGATAAAAAAGTTGGCACTGCGCATGCGCAAAATAAAATTTTGAAACTGGCGCTAGATTTTTCTTTATTCCAAGTGCCTATGTATCACATTTCATTTAAATTCTTCCATAAATAAAAAAGTTGGCACTGCGCATGCGCAAAGCCAAATTTTGAAACTGGCGTTTGATTTTCCTTTATCCAAGTGCCTATGTATCAAATTTCGTTTAAATTCTTCCATAAATAAAAAAGTTGGCACTGCGCATGCGCAAAACCAAATTTTGAAATTGGCCGTTTGATTTTCCTTTATAGTGCCTATGTATCAAATTTCATTCAAATACTTTTATAAGTAAAAAAGTTTGCAATTCGGTTTATGGTCGAGATGCGAAAAGGGCACTGTGAATTTTGAATCGATTCGATTCAACTTTTGGCATTGCGTATTATATAGCTAAATCTATGCCCATATTGAATTTCATGCAATTCAGTTCATAACTCACGGAGATGTAAAAGCGATCGAACATTTCTAAACAAAGTTATCGTTCACACGGACAGATAGATGGACAGACAGACAAAGGAACAGACGGAGAGACCAACCGGCAGGCGACAGATAGCAATGAAAAATTATAAACGATCTCTAGGATCGTTAATAAACGGCAAAAGTGTAAAATTATGGAACATGTAAAAAACGGTTTTTTGTTTTTTTTACAATAACTTTTTTTGTAAGCGGTACAGAAAAATTCCTTCCTTGGTACAAGACTCGACACCATAACGAACCAAATAGCGAAAAAAGTAGAACAATAGCTCTTAAGATAAAGAACTAGTAGCGTCGCAAAACGAGCGGACGGACGGACGGATAAAAACACGACCTTAGACGAAACACTATTTTATATTTTAATAGACCTATTTGCAATGAGAAAAACTCATTATTAAATGAGAAAAATACCATAAACAAATAAAAAATTAGTTAAGACCAAATTAAATAATAAAATGCAGCACGAGTTCCTTTGATTTCTTTAGAGTTCCCTTGATTTCCTCGGAGTTCCTGTGATTTCCTTGGAATTCCTCCTGAATGCACATGGAATTCCTTGGAATTCTTAGCTTTCCTAGGAGTTCCTCCGGAATTCCTATGATTTCCCATAGATTTCCTCAAACGTGTACACTGATTTCCCATCGCGGTTTACCCCTCGTTTTAACCATTTTGGGGGAGAACGTAGTACCGGCGAGGGAGGGGAGGGTATGAATCCTCTCAGTACAGACCATTTCCCGACAACCGCTGTATAACAGTGGCGTTCTAAAAACGGTTAGCAAATATTTACCCCTGGGGGGTATTCCATGCCCCCCCAGACCTCCCGGTGCTACGTTTGCACCTAAAACGCTCAACCTTAGGACTCGTGTATTAAATATTTAGCAGGAAAAGTAAATTTAATGGCACTTCCTAAAAAGAAAGGGTGAGCGTAGCACCGGGGGGTGTCTGGGAAGTATGGAATACCCCCAGTACAGACATTACTTTTTAATTAAATCTACTATGACAATTCCGTTTT